CTTAGACTCAAAGCTGGTCAAGCTTTAATTTGACGGACCCTATCTATGATCATCACAGTGTCTTCTCTCCGATGGTTCTTTCGTGATTCTATCTGTAATACCATGTCTATGGATGCTCTACAACTTGTGTACTAAATCAAAATGCTATTATTGTCCTATTTACTTCAAGTAGGCTAACTGTAGACGTCTACTCATTGACTCCGATTTTTCCTGTGTCTTCATTGTTGAGCTTTAGATTTCTCAAATTTAAGATATTCCCTGAATCTAGTTGTATTTATTTGCAGATACTTTTAAGTGCGTCCTTAAGCAATATGCAAATTTTTCATTAAGCTAATCAGTTTTAATTATCCTGTTCATTGGATTTCTTTCAATCAGGATATTAATGGCCTCTCTAATCTTGCATTTCTTGTATTTTTATCATAGGCAGTCAGCCTATCTATTGATTTCCAATGTCCCGCCTTGTAATTTATTTCATTTTTACAGTCCTTCAGTATTAGCTACTAGGGGATATGGAATTAATCAATACATTCTAATTTATTAATATTATTCGCTCCAAACAAATCTCCATTCAATTTTATTGTAAACAAATGAATGAGCAGAATTATCGGAATAAGGGTATATCTTTGAAAGTCAGAGCCGATCGATCTACAAGTTTAAAAGCATAGGTAATATTCATTACATAACCAACATACAAAAAATCACAATATAGGAAAAAATTAGGATGCCTTAAGAACAATTCCAAGTCCTTATTTAAATTTAATAAAAATAACTTATGGATATCTTTCAACATTAAGAAAGAAATTTAAAATTTCCTACATTTCTTTTGACACATTGTTTGATCCTTAATGCGTTAAACAATTACATTCATTGCTTAACCTCTATCATTACATTACCATTAAATGTATCTAGATGCCTCTAAATGCGAGTTTTAGTATTAGCCCATGCAGCATATATTATTGACTTGCTAAGCACACACTGAAAAGAGCCTCCTTAGGTCATAGAGTGGAGGAAAATTTTGATTCCTCCATTACATTAAATGGAATAAGGGGATTAAATGGGAATGATTTACTGGAAGTGCTTAAGCATAGTTAATATAAAACAAAATGTAGCAATTTATTGTGATAGCAAAAACACTAATTGCAGATAAAAGCTGGGTTTCGAAGAAACTTATGTCTTATAATTGTTGAGCTTACTTCTATTTAGAGTGAAAGTGTTTGGTAAATAGATTCAAGGGTCGAATCCATCAGAAGACGACAGCGGATTCCTCTTGACCAGTTGTCGATTGGCTTTACTGGAACATTCATGCTGACTCTGTTTCTGAGCTAATCTTCTCCGATTCCGGTGCATAGGTGCTAAACTTTCGTCCGTCATGACACCTATCATAAAGGCCAACAAAAATTCAAGCTAATGAGTCAAATAAACTCACCAGAAAATCCCTAAAAAGCGGTATAAATACTTTATATCTGGCCTCCCTAATAAGATATAAAGTGATTGGGTTAGTTACTGTCATATGTCAACATCAAAGCCTGTGAGTGTGTCTCTGTATGCTAATGTGCCTTTTTGTGTTCGCTTATACACTAAGCCCGCAGTGAAAACTCGAAGTAATTAGGACAGCAAAAGTAACGTCTGTTCTGGGATATCAAGTTTTGATGATAATTACCTCTCTCTTTCTACATACATATTATAACCATCACTCCTATTGCGCAAGCTCGGATACGTGGTGTTCTGTTGATTCGCATATTTTTTGTTTTTGGTCTGAATGTAATAGAAAAAGAATAAGCGAATAGTACC